GCATATTTACAAGACTTATCTACATGGATTTTATTGAGAAATTTGGATTTTTTAGTATTTTAGTTATGCTTGTAAAGTTATGTCTGTTTACTGGATAGACTTTAGCATACTATTGTTGTCGGGCACATGTTCTCACCTTTCAGAATTCACGATATATATATATATTGAAATCATACAGGCAACTTTGAAGTACAAGTCATTCATAAAAATATGCTTTTAATGGATAAAACAAAAATTAATTGGTATTTTTTTACATACTGTCGATAACTACCTCCGAACCTCAAATTGCGGCAGTTATCGACAACCCTGTTTCCGACCTTAACAATACCCCGGATGTAGATAATACGCTGACAAACGTTGCAGACGCTTCATGAGTGAAGTTGGATTACACCATTATGTGACAAATATTTCAGGAAAAAATGTTATCAAAATTCGAAGTGCCAAACATGTCTTATCGGGGCCCGTAAGGGAGGTTTAAAAACAGGATCGATTCTTCTCTTTGGAAAAAAAAAAGTTCAGAAAATTTGTTTAACCGGTGTTGTCTGAATGGAACGGTTCCGAGGGATTCCGAAAAAGGTAAGTGTACCTATCAAAAACGTCAAGTGTCTGAAAAACGGTTCGTAATCGATCCAAAACGAGATGAATAGAACCGGGGGTCGATAATACCCCCCTGTTGATAACACCCTCCGTTGCTCTATACGTCTGTTTTGAGCAAGATAAAAATGCAAAAATGCAAAATTGCATATTTATGCGGGTTTTTTTAATTAGTGATTAATTCTTATGTTTTCCGGACGAACTTCCGGTAATTTTTGTGTCAGTTTACAGACGATGCACAGCCGTCTAAAATATCCTTGTGTTGTGTATGTCCAGCAGGTCACGGAAGTTACGAGATCTATATAAGATAAAATGGCTGCGCGGAAATACATGTTGACGGAATGCGGGAGATTTGTATCACCCGCTCGGGCCGGGTGATAAGTTGGTCGCGGGTGATAAGTTAATTTTGCGTGTGTGGATGCATATGCAGGTCATTTAGCAGGTATGCACGTGACATGAGATAGACAATCAAAGTCGAAGCAGAATGGGCCAGACTTAGGCCTAGAAGATATAGAATATGGCTAGCGACAACTTCAGAGAAAATTTAAAGCCGTATTGTATAGCTGTTGAAGGGTTTCCGGCGGACACAAATGAAAGCCAAGTGAGACTTGTGTTTAAAAATTGCCTGAAAGCAGAAAGTATAGCCGCGGGTGCCCAAATCCAACAAACAAAATGGCTGATGTTATTCCATGATGGAGCTGGTAAGTCCGTAAGAATCATAGTAAAACGTTTGTTGTTGTTATTATTTCATTATACTAAGGAGATAGTAATATTAAACAAACTATAGATTGTACATATTATAACGAATGTTCTCATATGTACAAACGTTTCTTATACAACACAAGATTGCTGAATTATTGACAAATCAAAAACGAAAGTAGGAATTCCTTTTCCAGGATGCCAGCAATCGCCATTTTACATGTTTTGTTTGATTATACTGTACTTGTAGATGACACGCTCCGTTGACGATCCTTACGAAACAATATGTTCATTTACTGTGTAGATATTTGCTGATTCGTATTAGTCTCAAAAAAAGAAAAACAATTTTCTATCATTTACCAGTGTTTCATACTCAAAATTGCAAATTTCACGCTGCTGTGTTGGTAACATGGTGTCCTTTATATGCTGAAATTGTATTTCTTTGTCAAGTAATTTGTTCAGTAATTAAGTTATTATTCTAGTTAAACAAATTATAAAGTTTTCTCAAAAAGGAAGATCTTGGTAACTGGTTATTTTGAGAGAAAAAATGCAAGACTTCAATAAGGACACTGTTACCCACGAAACTACTACGTAAAAAATGCACATATTTGATACCACATATTAACATAGAAATCATCTAATTTTGTAGTTATAAACGTTAATCGCATTAAAGTTTTGTACCTTAGAGTTTAGGTAAAAGCCAAGGGACATTTGATACATTTTGGTATATGTTGCGTATGTAACACGGACATATGGCACGCCATCCTGTAAAAAATACATAAACTACTTGAGTGAAATCGTATAGCCTTAAGGGAAAATCATTTGACCTTAGGTGTAAATAAGTTTCAATTGCACATATTGGCAAAAAGTTATTTATGTGACTTGAGCCCATTCATTTACACTTAAGGTCAAAAGATTTGACCTTAAGTGGATTTTTTTTGCACTTATGGTCAAATCCTTTGAATTTAATAAGGTAAAATGTACATTTATGTAACTGTAACAGTCTCAAAAATCAAAGAGATGTTGTGGGTTCGATGGTATTTTATTACGTGTAAATAAAATCCTAGAAAACAAAACATAAAATACATTACTCACACACCCATATCATACGCTGCAAAGAACGATAACTCTTTACTTGCATATATATTACGATTCTCGTTTATACCTAATTGAGAGATGTAAATTGTATTTTACAATATACAATTTATAACTAGAAATATAACTTTACCCCTATTTTCCATTGAAGAATGAAAAGATAGCTATGGTTAAATGTATTAAATTAACACACCTCAAGAACAAATCTTCCGTTACATTTATATAAGATATGGGAATATCTTTAAATTACACAATTACTTCTCATATGATAAAAGTGACTTAACATATATACACAAATGAAACATATCCATACACACTCACCCTACGAGATATTGCAGGGGTTTACACGTGGCTTAAGAGCCATGCAGGTCATTGCCAGGGACTGAAGGGTTCACCTCTAAAAAGAATGACATGAAACTTTCAGCAAGCATATTCACTAGAAACTTATGTATAACTCTATTTAATATTTACCTTTATTTAATTCTAGACAAAGCACACCTAAAATGGTGGTAACTGCTCATTACAAAAGTTTATAACTCAAGAGAAATATAACTATTACTTTTACCATTAAACCCGTAGTTAAACGTTATACAGAATGAGCCTACACCTAGTGTTATAAACTTTGAGTACAATTATTTACCAAAACTATTATAAACTAGTATAACTTACCACCAAATACAGCTAAGGCACTGTCTCTTGGAAAGCTCCTTTTCAAATGAAGGACTTACACCTCAGAGTGCCCGGTGTGAAAATGTGGATAGATGTCAGAGTGAGGCAGAAAGCAAGAACTTCAAGTAAGTCTTGTCCAATCAACATCCCTATAGTCCGTCACATGTCAATACATGAATATACTTGAACACAGGTCACCTGTTCACAAACATTAAGGCAGCCCACCTCATCCCATTACAGGAATGACTTTTAAGGAATCCCATGCTAGTCTTTATACCAAACACCTAATTATATATAATGATCACCTATCCTAATGACAGAATAATTCACCCTGCCACATAACAAAAAAAAGATTTGCCCTTAAGGGCAAATCCTCTGACCTTAAGGAGGCTCCATCCTTTCGCAATTAGCCAGCAGAATTCAATGAAAGTTTCACATAATGGTTATGTAGAGATGATTTTATGAAAATCTAAGCATTCCGATATACTGGGGATCTTTTTGTAAAAAATACCGAAAAATTGAATTTTTGTCAAATTCAACACTTTCACATTTTTTGAGCGTGTGACATTGTTCAAAACTATTGCTACAATAAAAAATGAAAAGAAAAATTGCTAATCAACCCTACAAATATTTCATTTATCATAAAATATCTACAACATGTTACAAAATGTTTTTTAATTGAAATTGTATGGATAAAAGTTACTAAATACAAGCTAAAAGCAAACAGGACACATAGTTTCATACCAGTAATCGCCTGGAGCGTCAATATACAAGGTAAAAACTTGTAATTTTACACGTTCATTTACTCTACTAAATTCTTGATATCTTGAAAGTTTTGACTCGGTCAATAGTTGTGTTTCAAAGATACACATAAATTGAAATTTGAGCTAATCACTGATTAAGCTAATTGCCCTTTGAACAACTATTTAACAACTGGTCCCAAGCGACTAAGTCCAAAAGTTGTCATTTATACTAAATAGCGTTAATTAATCACTTACAATAATTATTACCGTATGCAGATCAGATCCTTATATTTCATAGATCATTTTGATTGGATAAGCAGCCCACCATATGAGTATACATGTATGCATGTGTTGTACAAAATAGGTTTTGATAGAAAAGTGATCTTCAATTATTTAACAATCAATTTATCATGACATTGTTTCTTGATTATTTTTTTGTTTGGCTGTGAAATAAAATAAAAACTGTTGTATTTTATGTTTTTGTAGAAGTTGATGCATTGCTGAAAAGTGGTAGAATTCAATTACAAAATGGTGTACTTGAGATCAGTCCTTGTGTTCCCTGTGACATTCCAACGTCATGGGAAAAGGTAGACCTACAGGTAATTAAGACAACAAACATGTACATTGCTTCTGAATTTTTATACAGGTTTCACATGTGTATTGTTTGAGAATTGCCACCTTCCTTTAGGTAGAGAGTCAACAACACACTTTACTGTAATTCTCAAACAAAAAAGAATTATATTTTTTTTCTGCAATTTTCTGATTTCGAGCATGTTGCTTGATCATTTGCTTAAATGCAGAGTTACATATGAAAGTGTGTATTTATTTTAAGATTTATGCTATATATGTTCTTTGTAGCAGCATCAATAGTAGCTTAAGCAATTAAAATGCCAATAAACAATAAAAAATATTAATGTTCTGAATCTTGTGGTTGCCTCCCTGATTTTGCTCAAGTTTTATTATTCTTATACACAGTAATGTATACAGTAAATAGCAGGTATGCATTGCCTATTTTCTGTATGTAAATAAAGTTTTTTGGGTCTCTATCCCATAATGCAATGTTATTATATAAACAGGAAGGAGAGGAGGATGAGGATGAGGAGGAGACTGAACAGCTAGGGATGATCAAGGTTACACAGGTATCTCCCAAGACCACAGAGGACACCCTAACCCTCTTTTTTGAGAGCAGAAAAAGGACCGGAGGAGGGGATATCAAGGAAATGGACTTCAGGAAAGAGTCTGCTACAGCTATTATAACATTCAAAGACCCTGCAGGTATATATTGTAACAATGGAAGTTACGAATATATAGCTGATTACAAATTGTTGGGTCAAGGGGACTCAATGTTGTAAAAAGGGTGGGTGTGGACCCACAGGGTGCAGAGTTGCGGGGCCCAATAGGGAAAATAGGGGTAAAAATACTGTAGGGATAAAGAGATTTTTTCCTTTAGACCAAAGGGACTCAATCTTCTGTAGGAGGTAATGCACTGAATATCAATCATATTTAATCAAAAGCATTCATGGGAGGCAGGGATTCAAAAGTGTACAAATGGTGTGGCTGACCCCCGAGGGGGCTGAGGGGCGGTGCCAAAAGGGGTTATTTCGCGACTCCTTCTCTGGTACTAAGAGATGGATATCAACCATATTTGACTGGAAGCATCCCTAGGAGGTGGGGATTCAAAATTGTACAAATGGTGGGGCTGACCCCCCCCCCAGGGGTCTGAGATATGGGGCCCAAAAGGGGATAATTTGGCTATATTGCTTTTAGCGACTTTTCAGGAACTAAGAGATGGATATCAACCATATTTGACTGGAAGCATCCCAGGTGGTGGGGATTCAAAATTGTACAAATAGTGGGGCTGACCTCCCAGGGGGTTGAGGGGTGGGCTCAAAAGCAGGCAATTTGGCTATATTGCTCTAAGCGACTTCTTCTCTGAAACTAAAAGATGGATATCAACCATATTTGACTGGAAGCTTCCCTAGGTGGTGGGGATTCAAAATTGTATAAATGGTGGGGCTGACCCCCAGGAGGCTGAGGGGCAGGGTCAAAAGGGGGCAATTTGGCTATATTGCTATAAACGACTTCTTAAAGAGACGAATGCAGTCATGATATTAGAATAGACCCTGGGGTCTGATCGAACCCCTAGGGACCTAGTTTCTTAGTCACAGCTTGGAAACAGTTGAGATCCCCACCCTATAACCATATATACAATTGCTGAGTATAAAGAGAGGAATGCACATATGCTTCCAGGATGGCCTTGGGGACTGCCCCACCCTTGGAGACTTAACCCCTGGGTCATAACTTCGAAATGGTTAAGATCCCCACCCCAAAACTATTTATACAATTGTTGGGCATAAAGAGACGAATGCAGTCATGTTATTAGAATTGACCCCAGGGTCTGCCCCACCCTTGCAGCCTTAACCCCTAGGTCATAACTTTGAAACGGTTGAGATCCCCACCCCAAAACTATTCATACAAAATCTGGGCAAAAAGAGTTGTTTTTCAAAAATAATTCTTTTATGTTTTGTACATGATATATATAGACTTCTGAAATACAGTGAAGTATGTTTTTAGGTCACCTGAGCTTTGCTCAAGTGACCTATTCTAATCGCTTTCCCTGCGTCGTGCGTTAACTTTTTAAATTTTCAACTTCTCAATAACCAGTGGATGGAATTTTTTAAATCTTGGTCAGAATCTTCCTTGGTAGATGAGGCTACATAATTGTAAAATTGGGATTCCTACTCCAACCCCTGGGGCCATGGCAGGGCACCAAAGGAAAAATTAACCAATATTTCAAAAATCTGCTTCTCCAGACTTAGAGGTACTACAATCATTCTCTCTGCATGAAAAGAAAGATCATCAAAAACTTTATTTAAATTGTAAATTTCAGGACCTCCGAGCTATCCATTCTCCCTTGGGGAGGGGGTAAAGTTTACTATAGTTTATATAGGGTAATAACAATTTTGGGTATATTTTGACAATTTTCTGTAGGAAATTATTTTTATTTGGTGAGAGTTATCCTTGGAGGAAGATAGTTTCAAATTGTAAAATTGAGATTCCTATCCCAACCCTTGGGGCCAGGGCGGGGCCCCAAAGGGCAAATTAACCAATATTTCAAAAATCATCTTCTCTAGACTCAGAGCTACTACAGTCAATTTCAGTGCATGGGTTGAAAGATCATCAGAAGCTTTATTGAAAGGTCAATTTCAGGACCCCCGAGCCATCCGTTCCCCCTTGGGGAGGGGGTAAAGTTTACTATAGTTATAGGGAAATAACGCTTTTGGGTATATTTTATCCATTTTCTGCAGAAAATTACTCAAACTTAGGCAGAATCATCTTTAGTGAATGAGGGTATTACATTGTAAAATTGGGATTCCAGCCCCATCTCTAGGGGCTAGGGTTGGGCCCAAAAGGGCACATTTACCAATATTTTAAAATTCTTATCCTTTGATGACATGACAAGTATTGTATTTCACTTAGTTTACATGCTGATTTCCACATCACATCTAAACAATAAAATAAAGCTACCAGTACCTATGATATAACTCAGGTGACCGCTAAGGCCTTTGGGCCTCTTGTTAGCTCACCTGATCCGAAGGACAATGGTGAGCTTATGCCATACCATAGTGTTTGTCGTCCGTCAACTTTTCCTTTAAAACGCTACTTGTCCTGAACGGCCAGGTAGATTTTGACTACATTTGGTCTGGAGCATCCTTAGGACAAGGGGACTCAATTTTGTATAAACGATGGGTGTGGCCACCCTGGTGGCAGAGGGGCGGGCCAAATAATGGAAATAGAGATAATACCTTTAAAATCCTTCTTCTACCGTAGGGATGGAGGGATTTCCCCCTTAATTTAGTCTGGAGCATCATTGGGCCAAGGGGACTCAATTTTGTATAAATGGTGGGTGTGGCCACCCTGGGGGCAGAGGGGCGAGGCAGAATAGGGGAAATTGAGGTAAAACCTTTAAAATCCTTCTACCGTAGGAATTAAGGGATTTTATCCTGAATTAGTATTGAGCATCCTTAGACCAAGGGGACTAAATTTTGTATAAGCAGTGGGTGTGGCCACCCTGGGGGCAGAGGGGCGAGGCAGAATAGGGGGAATAGAGGTAAAAATATCAAAATCCTTCTTCTACCGTAGGGACTTCTACCGTAGGTCGTAGGGACTTCTACCGTAGGGATTAAGGGATTTTATCCTAAATTAGTCTGGAGCATCCTTGGGCCAAGGGGACACAATTTTGTATAAATGGCAGGAGTGGCCCCCCTGGGGCAGAGAGGCGGGGCCAAATAATGGAAATAGAGGTAAAACCTTTAAAATCCTTCTTCTACCATAGGGATGAATTTTGTATAAACGGTGGAGATGTGGCCCCCCCTGGGGGCAGGGCCGAATAGGAGAAATAGAGGTAAAACCTTTAAAATCCTTCTTTTATTGTAAAGATTAAGGGATTATATCCTAATTTAGTCTTGAGCATCCATCCTTGGGCCAAGGGGACTCAAATTTGTATAAACAGTGAGTGTGGCCCCCTTTGGGGCAGAGGAGTGGGGCCCAATAGGGGAAATAGAGCAAATTCTTCAAAATCCTTCTTCTGTAGGAACGCCAGGATTTTTTCCAAATTAGGTATGAAACACCCTTTGGTGAAGGGGAACCAACATTGTATAAATGGTTGGGGCCCCCCCATGGGGTTAGAGAGGCGGGCCCAATAAGGGATATAGAGGAATAGCTCTAATATCCTTTTTCTTCCGTTGGGATGAAGGTATTTTGACAAAATTTGAACAGTAGCATCCTATGGGAAAGGGAAATCAATTTTGTATAAACGGTTGGTGTGGCCCACCTGGTACCTGAGGGGTGGGGCCCAATAAGGGTAATTAAGCAAATTCTTTAAAATTCTTCTTCTTCTGTAGGAATGACAGGATTTTGTCCATATGATTTGGTCTAAAGCATCCTGCCTTGGGGTTCGTTAATATAACCATGGTTTACTGTACTCGTATCCGATGTGATGATCATTCCAGGTAAACTTAAAGCTACAGAGGTAGATGTGTGATATCATTTGTCAACATTACCAGTAAAATGGGGGGGGAAGGGGGGGGGGGGGATATACGGAACCTGTTATTCTTGAATTTCATAAGATATGTGAATGCAATAATATATCAACAACAATTCTTTAAAACAATCTTTTCACATTTGAGTTCGCTTAACACCAGTAACCCTTTCACCCCTATGTAACTTTAGTAGACTCTAACATGCATTGATCCGGATGAGTCCATTATGGTCTACAGTGGTATAAATATAAGGGTTAAACAAGGTTACATGTATAGTGTTGTGGTTATTATAAGTAAACTTATGAGGAACCATCTGTACATTTTTCTTGATTTGAGCATTACCAGTAAACTATAGGGGACCAGTGTTGTGATAGGATATATACTGTAAAATAAAAAAAAATGAGGGAAATCAAATTTCGTTTATTTCGTTGCTAACAAAAATCCACGAAATTAAATCCCACGAAAACATAAATTTGGTATGATATAGATGGGGGGAAATCAGAAATCATCGAAATATAATGTCCTTGAAACAGGCTAGTATATGAAAACCAAGAAATTTTTAACCCCACGAAAATGAATGATTCTAAAGTACAATGTATATATTGTTTTGTTTCAGTGGTTAAACGTGTCCTACAGAAGCTACCATTTCTGTTAGATAAAAAGCAGATCAAAGTGGAGCTATTTGTCCCAGAGAGTTGCAATTCAGGAGCTATGGGTAAAGACAGCAGTGAGGAAGAAACCAGTGATAAAGAAGAAACTAAACCGTCCTGTACCATAGAGGTGCGGGGCATGAAGGAAACCACCAGCATAGACACAATTGAACTTTATTTTGAAAGCAAGAAGGCCGCAGGAAAACCTTTTGATATTGTGAAGCTCGATGATTCAGAAAGGGAAGAGGGTGTCATCTACATTACATATGAAACTGAAGACGGTAATTCAAAAGATATGTTTTTATTATTAAAAATTCAACTTCTTATATCTTGTTTTCTGTTGTACCCAGTTTCGAGGCAGTGTATTAGAATTTCTAGCTCACCTGATCTGGTAGACCTTATGCCATTTCATGGCATCTGTGTGTGTATCTCTGTCAAAGTGTCAACAATATCTTCTTCATATACATATGTGCTGAATTGAATTTTACCATGTTTGAATGAAAACTTCCATAGGTGGTGAAGATTCATTTTGTATAAATGAATATGCTAACCCACTTGTGTGTTAGAGGGGGTACTCAGGGGTTGGGCCAAAAAGGGTTTATTTAGCCTTTTTGCATTAAGGAACTACAATTCTCTTTTGAAAAATATACAAACAGAGGCATTGACCTCACAGGGTGCTAAGCAACAGGTCCAAAGAGGGCACTTTGGCCACTTTGCTATAAGAGACTTTCTCTGGAACTAAGAGATAAATATAATCCATACATTGTATTTGGTGAGAAACATTCTCATGGGGTGCAAATGATTAAAAATTGTATAAATGCAGGGGAATGAAGATCAACCCAGAGAGCTGAGGGATTGAGCCAAGAAAAGGTGATTAACTTAGAAATGGTTGAGACCCCCATCTTATAACTTATATCTGCTTCCTTGAGTCCTGAGGCTTGACAAACAAGTGTGCTTTAAGGATTGGCCTGAGAGTGTGACCCTGCCAATCAGGACTTAGTCACTTGGCCATAGCATGAAAAAGGTGGGCATTGATTTTTATGGAATATTTATGAACTTGTCTTGTAATAATATCTATAGAATGAACACTGTCCTGTTTGTTGAATTTCTGTTATGGTATTTACAGTGGTGAGAGCTGTGGTGGAAAGAGAACACAAACTGGAGGGGGTCAAATTGGAAGTGAAACAGTACATCCCACCGCCACCACCAAAACCACGCCCTCTGTATCCTGATAAGGTGCTCATAAAGGGAAAGAATCCAGACACAACACAAGATGGACTAGAAAATTTCCTGGAGTTAAAGGCTAATGTGACGCCAACACATTATTTACCTGGAGAAGAGGAGGACACTGTACTTGTGACATTTGAAAAACCACCAGGTGTGTGGAATCTTGGATATCAATGTACTAACAGTGTAGGCATTTTACTAAGTTCACTTCTGGTTTTGAGGGCTGAAAAACATCAGAAAATATGTATTCTGTTTATGTCATGTTTCTGTTAATATCATGTTTTCTCTGACAAATGGGAAGTGATATTAAGAGAAATTTACTGTAGTAGAATTAGTGGTGGTAGGATTAGTGATGGTAGAATTAGTGGGGGTGGGATTAGTGATGGGAGAATTAGTGGTGGTAGGATTAGTTGTGGTAGCATTAGTGGGGGTAGAATTAGTGGTGGTAGGATTAGTGATGGTAGAATTAGTGGTGGTAGAATTAGTGGTGGTGGGATTAGTGATGGTAGAATTAGTGGTGGTAGGATTAGTGATGGTAGAATAAGTGGTGGTAGCATTAGTGGTGGTAGAATTAGTTGTGGTAGGATTAGTGATGGTAGAATAAGTGGTGGTAGGATTAGTGGTGGTAGAATTAGTTGTGGTAGCATTAGTGGTGGTAGAATTAGTTGTGGTAGCATTAGTGGTGGTAGAATTAGTTGTGGTAGCATTAGTGGTGGTAGAATTAGTGGTGGTAGCATTAGTGGTGGTAGAATTAGTGGTGGTAGCATTAGTGGTGGTAGAATTAGTGGTGGTAGAATTAGTGGTGGTAGGATTAGTGGTGGTAGTGGTAGGATTTATGATGGTAGAATTAGTGGTGGTAGAATTAGTGGTGGTAGCATTAGTGGTGGTAGAATTTGTGATGGTAGAATTAGTGGTGGTAGTGGTAGGATTTATGATGGTAGAATTAGTGATTGTAGAATTAGTGGTGGTAGTGGAAGGATTTTCTGATGGTAGAATAAGTGGTGGTAGAATTAGTGGTGGTAGGATTTGTGATGGTAGAATTAGTGGTGGTAGGATTAGTGATGGTAGAATTAGTGGTGGTAGGATTTGTGATGGTAGAATTAGTGGTGGTAGGATTTGTGATGGTAGAATTAGTGGTGGTGGAGTTAGTGATGGTAGAATTAGTGGTGGTAGTGGTAGGATTTTTGATGGTAGAATAAGTGATGGTAGAATTAGTGGTGGTAGGATTTGTGATGGTATAATTAGTGATGGAAGAATTAGTGGTGGTAGGATTTGTGATGGTAAAATTAGTGGTGGTAGGATTAGTGATTGTAAAATTAGTGGTGGTAGGATTTGTGATGTTAGAGAAAGTGATGATAGGATTTGTGATAGTACAATCTGTTGTGGTAGGATTAATTAGTTGTGACAGGATTAATGGTGATAGGATGAATGATGGTAAGATTTGTATTCTTCAATTATTTTAGTAAAGAATATAATACAGATGAAATACAGAATGTTTAATACGATTTAACTTAATACAGCCAGAGAAAATTATCATAATAACCGATATATCATAATAACCGATCAAGCTGTTTTCGATCGTTTTTATGTTGTCCGAACCAGGAGTGAGATGCCCTAGCTATATTAATCACGCAGATATAGATTGATATGGAAACATGGAAAAATATAAATACAAACTGATAAAATAATAATTGAAATAATTTGATCATTGTAATTATAAGGGGCCCCGCATCAAAGATACGGGTGCCCTATAGTAATCAGGTTGTCCGTCCGTCTGTCTGTTTTTTTCCTTTTGCACAATATTGATTGAAGTAAATGGAGTATGTTTTTAAAATTTTACAAGATGATTCCCATGCATCCAAGTTCTGCTTGGTAATTTTTTGGGCAGATCAGATTCAAAATGGCTGCTAATCAGCCATCTTGGATTTTAACATTAAAAAATTCATTTTTTTTTGCTCTAAACTGGTAAATATTTTGTTATAACATTATGAAGCAAAGTTGGTCACAATACAACAAGAAGTCAACTGATCGAAGGTCAAGGTCATCAGATCAAAGGTCAAGGTCAGATTTTGTATCTTTTAACTGCTTAAGATTTTGTTTTGACTTTATGAAGCAAAATTGGTCACAATCAAACAAGGTATCAACTGACCAAAGGTCAAGATCAAAATTCTTTTCCCTGATGAACATTTAGTTATGACATTATAAAGCAAAGTTGGCTGGAGTTAAAGAGTTATCTGACTTAAGGTGAAGGTCAAAGGTCAAACTTAGTATCTTTTCACTGGTGAACATTTTGTTACGACACTTTGAAGCAATTTTGGTAGGAATTAAACAAGGAGTCAGTTGACCAAAGGTCAAGGTCACTGGGTCAACGGTCAAGGTAACATTTTGTATTTTTTCACTGGTGAACATTTCGTTTTGACACTTTGAAGCAATGTTGGTTAGAATTTAACAGGGAGTCAATTGACCAAAGGTCAAGGTCACTTGGTCAAAGGTCAAGGTCAAATTTTGTATCTTTTCCCTGATGAACATTTTGTTTTAACATTATGAATCAAAGTTGGTTGGAATTTAACAAAGAGTCAACTGACTTAAGGTCAAGGTCACTGGGTCAAATGTCAAGGTCAAATTTTGTATCTTTTCTCTGATGAACATTTTTTATGACATTATGAATCAAAGTTGGTTGGAATTTAACAAAGAGTTAACTGACTTAAGGTCAAGGTCACTGGGTCAAAGGTCAAGATCAAATTTAGTATCTTTTCATTGGTGAACATTTCGTTTTGACACTTTGAAGCAATGTTGGTCGGAATTAAAAAAGGAGTCATTTGACTTGAAGGTCAAGCTCACTGGGTCAATGTCAAGATCAAATGTTGTATCTTTTTACTGATGAACATTTTTTTTATGTTATTATGAAGCAAAGTTGTTCAGAACTTAACACATAGTCAACTGACCAAAGGTCCAGGTTACGGTGCCCAAAGGTTCAAGGTCAAGGTCAAGTTTTTTTATTTTCACTGATGAACATTTTGCTATGATATTATAAAGCAAAGTTGGTTGGAATCGAAGAATAAGTCAACTGACCAAAAATCAGGGTCACTTGGTTAAAGGTCAAGGTCATTTGGGTACAAAGGTCAAAGACAAAGTGGATCTCTGCCTTTGACCATGGCTCTTGATGGGGGAAATATTTAAGGTGAAATAAAACAAATCAAAGCCAACAAATCAGTATTACACCGGTATTTACATTTCTGTTAGCCCAGCAGTATAGAGGTTGAAGGAAACAAGACTTGCATCATAGCACATGTAAAATGTATATTTTGCTTCCTTGTGATTTTTTTGGAAATCCAAATGTCAAACGTCAATCTCAGCTATATGGGCAGATTGCTTCTTGATGATTATTGGGGATATATTGCCACAAGACGGGGCCCTTACTGACCTGTCAGTGTTCTAGTTTATATCAGCGTGTTGGAAATGTTTGAGAAGATTTCGTTGTGCCATCAAAATGATCAGTATGTAAATTCTACTTTCACTTTCAAATTACTTAGAGCATATTCCTAAGCACTATCTTCATACTACATCCTAACACTTGTAGCTAATGATATCATAATGTTACAGTCAAAAGGATGAAAGAAGTGATATAAATAGTCATGAATTACCTATTTTGCAACTAGAAGTTGCGTTACATTTTGTCCCATAAGCGTAAAACATTTTGCCGCACTATGTCAAGAACGATCACGTGACAGTCACATGCCTCACAAGTCGTGCGGTGAGATCAACTTGCAAAGAAACAATAACAATTAAAAACACAAAATATTCCCTTTTTAACAATAATCAAATATTATATTTAACGAAAATGGTGTAAATTGTAAACAAAGCAGCCGTCGTCAGTTAGTTACGACAACAACCTTAACTTGGGATCAATTTCTGGGGGTATGTCCCGATTTTGACCCTTTTTCAACGGAGACACGGAGAGATCAACTTCTAATGCAATAGAGAACCTATTGCTTAAATTATTAAAAACACACATCTCCCTTCTGAAGTGATATTTTCATTGAAATCGGCATGATTTTCTCACATGACGTGTTAAGGTAACTGAATATTTGTGAAAGGCATGCTCGATTTCTTATCGGAATTATTTGTGTTAGAAAATGTCGGTAGGCCTAATTATTTCAATTTTAGATAGCAATTAACTGCACCACATGATTTGTTCAGACTAAAATATATGACCATTAAGTGATGGTCGATCTCATGTTTTCCTTGGACTGGGGTGAAGCGAGGTGTGAAAAATTTAGCTGGAGTGGACAGGTGATCACATCGGGCGATGTGCAATTAGCCAGACCTATTGTTCAATTGTCCAGGTGTTTCACACGAACAACTTACCTGAGTTTTTACCTTATAAAATCCATTCACAGCAGAAAAAAATATATCATGATAAGCGATATCATAATAAGTGGGTTCCACTGTACATATAGAAAACCATATAATAATGTGTTTTCTTTTCTTTTTATGCCCCCGCCATAAAATAGATGGGCATATAGTGTTGCCCATGTCCGTCCCGTCGCGTCCTGTCCCGATTCAATGTAAACACGCGCCCCGTCCCGATTCATTGTAAACACTTAGCAATTTCATTCTTTGACAGATATTGGTCAAACTTTATACAAAGGTCAAGTATGAGTATACTTCGGACATCATTGTGTTTCAGGGATCCAAGGTCAAGGCCAAGGTCACACTTGCTATATATAGAAAATCATCAACCGTTTCAATTTAAATACTTAGCAACTGCATTCTTTCAAGGATTTTGGTCAAACTTTTAATAAAGGTCAAGTATGGGTATACCTCTGACATTCTTGTGTTTCAGGATGGTAATAATCTACAGAAAAAACATATGAATATTAAAATCAACTTATCAACTTTAAGTGTATAGTTACCTTGTGTGCTTGTTTCTTGGTATCAAGATCAAAGTGGTTGTAACTTTTTATAGAACACTGAAACTAATTTCACATGGCAGCGGTGGCATTTATGTCTTACAGACATTTTCTAGTTTATCTTTTATGTTAATATTTTGTGTCAAGTGTAATCTATTCAATCCTACAAAATATGTGATATATATAAGGGCTGTCACGGGTACAGAATGTTGCCTGGGTGACCGAAATTTGATACCCGACCTGTACCGGGTACTCAACAATTTGACCCACACAAAGAATCAGGGTTATTGACCAGTTTCTATTAGATACACATATTATATAAAACCCACAATATATGTGCACTATGATTTGTTGACGAGAGTATCATTTTGATTCCTTTATAAACTGATCCTTTTTTAAGTTTAATACGAAAAACAAATGTTTGCAGTAACATTTGCTGGGGAGCTGATCAGCATGTAAACAAACTTACTGCTCATGTTCATCCGGCAGCAAGACAAGCACACTACACACACAGTGACTAAAATACAATATATTTTCCGAAGCAGTTGTGGGAAATGAAAATAAAAACAAAGTAGCAACACAATTAGATGACGTCCCTGGTGAGTGAAAATAAAACACATGACTGAATATATTCATTTTGACTATTTTTCATTTTTTGTGTTAGTTGATACAGGTGATGATTGACGGTTCCCAGGTACACATTTCCGTACCCTGGTTCCAATCAAAACCGATTTCATTCGGGTAATCGAGTACTCCTAACAGCCCTAATATATATAGACACCAGATCACATTGTATCTGTTTTTTCCCCTACAGATTTTGAAAAACTGGAACTTGCTTGTAAGAAGAAAGCATTGGATAAGCATTTCCTGAAGGTGTTCCGAGTGCCGGTATCTAATTGTATCCTTGTAAAAGGGGCTGGAGATAAAACAAGCCTCATGAGTACACTACTGGAGTTATACTTTGAAAACACCCGTAGGAGTGGAGGGAGTGACGTGACAGAGGTCAAGGACCAGGGGGATGGGTCCTACCTTGTCTACTTTAAAGATCACACAGGTTTGATTTAGACCAGTTATACATTTAATTGAACTCAAATAAAGAAAATTTCCATTACGGATGCAATATATGCAAGAATCCTATTAGATTTCAGTACGACATCCTCTTTCATCAATACATAAAAACTCTGTATATTCTGAACATTTTTTTTGGAAAATATATTTCCAGGTAAATAAGGTACCAATAACAATCAGTAATTAGGCTTTCAATCGGTATAGATTTTTAGCTTTGAAATTATTAGTCCCCTACTGGTGAAACCGTGGGGACTAGAGGTTTCCTATCCGTCCGTCTGTGTATGTACGTTCGTACGTACGTAACAGCAATGTTTGTCAGCGTTCTTGCAGCTTCATTCCTTGAGGGATTTTGATCAAACTTCACACAAATACAAAGGACCATAATATCTCAAAGAATTTTAAAATTTCAGTGTTGTCGGGTTATGGTGAAGGTCACCGTTACAATATTTTAGAAAATCCATTGTCAGCGCCGTCCGTGGCTTTATTCCTTGAGGGATTTGGATCAAACTTCACACAGTTACAAAGGACCATAATATCTCCGACAAGTTTGAGTTTCAGGGTTGTAGAGTTGAGGTCAAGGCCCCTGTTACTATTAATACAAAATCCTGGACAAGTTGAAGCCAGTGGTGGACTGATGATTGATATATAATAATCAAACATCGATCGATTTGTCCTGTTCGATTCCGATTATCGATAACAAATTCCATAATCGATATAATCGGTTTTTTTTTACAATATGATTGTTGGTTATGTAGAAAAGAAAAAATCACATTAAATTCAGGTACAAGCTAATTATATACTTTTCATTTTCCCAAATAAACACCAAAGGGCACCTTTTTTTAGGTCACCTAAGCTTTAGCTCAAGTGACCTATTGCTATCCGTCGTCGTCCGTTAACATTTTACATTTTCAACTTATACTGGCAAAGGGATTTCATTAATATTGCATGGGAAGGTTACTGATATCTCCCTGACCAAGTGTTGTTATTTTTCGGGTCAATCAGAAATCCAATATGGCCACCACGGCCACCACTTTGAAAAACTATTTCAAACTTAAAGTCAAGTTCTACTGGGCCGATTGAACTGAAACTTTGTAGGAATGATCGACTCATGGTCCTGACAAAGTGTTGTTATTTTTTGGGTCGATCAGAAATCCAATATGGCCGACACGGCCGCCATTTTGAAAAACTATTTCAAACTTAAAGTCAAGTTATACTGGGCCGATTGAACTGAAACTTTGTAGGAATGATCCACTCATGGTCCTGACAAAGTGATGTTATTTATCGGGTCAATCAGAAATCCAATATGGTCGACACGGCTGCCATTTTGAAAAACTATTTCAAACTTAAAGTCAAGTTTTGCTGGGCTGATTAAACTCTAACTTTGTAGGAATGTTCGACTCATGGTCCTGACAAAGTGTTGTTATTTTTCGGGTCGATCAGAAATCCAATATGGCCGCCACGCCCGCCCTTTTGAAAAAACTATTTCAAACTTAAAAACAAGTTCTAATAGGCTGATTTAACTGAAATTCTGTCTAGGAATGATCAGCTCATGGTCCTGACAAACTTAAGTTAACCTTATACTTAACTATTTTGTACTCAAATTGGTACATATTTCAACAACAAAAATAAATACTGTAGGACTCAGGTGACGTTTTAGGCCCATGGGGCCTCTTGTTATAAATCATTACAGTGTAATAGCTAGCGGGGGCCGGTAGGGGACATGTATTGCTTTAGCAATACTCAGTATGATTGTTTTTGTAAACACGTCAACAAATCACTGGTACATGTGACAACTAGGTCTCTTGTGCCTAATTTTGTTGATTTGGTACATGGTACTGTAGAAATTTCCTCATTCTTTTGAGAGTGACGTGTAAACATTTAGACCATTTGCTACTAACATTTCAAAAGAAAAAATAATAATAATATTTTGAGATGTTGGAGGCATAACTGTTGTGATGAATGAACAATAACAATTAGGCCTAATTACTCAATGTAAGCGTGTTGTTTCTATGTTTACAGTGATTGACGGTGTCTGTGGGCGCTCCCATACTGTGGATAACCATACCCTTGATGTGAAACTTTACCATGAGCTGATAAGGGACTCTGGAGAAGATGGACCAAAATTTAAGGTTCCAGATGTCTTGGTTATCACTGATCTAGATCCAAGGAAGATCCAATTTGTTCAGTATTCTCAACCAAACAAAGATGGTATAGAAAAACAGTTAACTGCACAACATACAAAAATTATTTGGCCAGAAAAGCTTGCCGATCCAGTTAAACTTGTATGTCTGTTGACCAAAGATGTAAAAGATTGTCGGAATTTGGCCAAAGCATGGACGCAGACAGCACGGAAAAGTCTGGACATGTTTCTGGATGTCCTACTTGTCTTCAAACATCAGATTCTCCAGGACGCTTGGGATGGTGTAATGGCACAGCTTAAGAATATGAACATATCTCACCCTGATGATGTTGTAGTAGCCTTGGAAACAGTCCGTTTTGAAATTTTCGTCATGGGGCACAAGAAGTTTGCAACAGAACTTTCTCAAAGTTTGGAAAAAATCATTGGAGAGATTGCTGATGAGTTAGATAGAAAGAAGAAACAAGTTAAAGAAACAACTTCACTAATGAAACATCACCAATGCAAGTTGTCATGTTGAGCCTTACACGTTTCACTGACACAATGGAGAAGAAATATCCCGGGATGAAAGTCACATTAGATTTTAAGGCCAGAACAGTAACATATGAAGGGTTGTATGGAGAGGTGACCAGTGCAAAGTTGGAAATGTATGAAATGATCAATGCTATGGTGTCCAGTGATGTGGGTGATTTCAACAAGGGCAGGTATGCTTACCTCCAAGACATGGCGGTGAAACAGTATGTTGCAGGAAAGATGAAAGAGGACAAAATCATGTTTATTTGGTAAATGCAGGACAATCGTTTTGTAGTGTATGCTATGACGGATGATGCTGCAGTTCGTGCGGCACACATTCTGAGAGATTCGGTTCTAGAGACCATTGTTGATGTGAAGAAGGAATCCTCTTCTCTCCTGTCATCAGACCGTTGGGCCAGCGAGATGCAGTCCATCAAAGATTCATGCAGTGTAATGGTACAAATGAAAGTTCAGATGAACACACCTTGTATTGTGATTTACTCCACTGATAGAGATGCTGGGATGGTGAAAAAAAGATTGACTGATTTCTTAAGGTAATGGGATTGTGTCACCATTTCTTGGTAGAATTCCTTCAAATTTTGTAGTTATATTGCTTTGAAGTAAAGAAAATTTTCTGCCACAAACAAAATATAGGTTGACAGAATTTTAAGGATTGAAGGATTTAAGGAGTGAATTTTGAAAAAATGAATAAAGACACAGTTGTTTGCAAAATAATGTCAATAAAAATGATACTGATATAGACTAGTATTGCATTAATGTATATCAATTTAATAAATGCTGAAATTGTGTAAAATGAATTATCTATAAACGATTAGAAATTGACATTTTATAATAAAACCATATACACATAGTAATTGCATGTAAGCGTTATCTTTCACAGTAGTGAAATAGGTAGCCGGTTTCCTGAAGTACAGAAAAATTGACACATGTGACTCATTGATAAAAAAACCCTGAATTAATGGCTGGATTGCTTTGCAATACTTTAATATTGAGAGAACACACTGTTCTGTCAATAATAAACATTAGAATATGCGGAAATTGTAATACTGCAACGGTACTACAAAGGGAACTTAAATGATATCCCAAAATGTGTAATTGTTCATAATGTAGGAGTCGTCTCAATTTTTTTTCTTAAATGTAAAGGGACCTGTAGGAATCTTATTACGAACAGTAGATACGACATGCAGGTGTGTGTTTATCTCTGCTCAGTGCATGTGAAAATGAGTAGATATCTTTGAAACAGCAATAACTAGTGTCTTATACACAAAGTCATAAGCAGGTATCATGCAGGCTCCAGTTTATCATAGCTATAGCTCCAGCAATACCTTCCAACGGTCTAACGTGAGTTTAAAATTTCCTTATAAAGTAAGTTTCACGTTAGACCACCTATGCAGAGTATGAGTTGCAGATGAAAATATCTAAAAACAAGTCGGGGGAGGGGGTGTATTTGTTAATTAATTGTTAATACCTTGCAGTTTGCAAGAATTATAATTTATAAATTCTTCCAAAACTTAAATATTCAATTGTGGCATTACATGTATCAGTGGCTTTGAAGACAGAAATACTAGATTCAAAATAAAGAGAAAATATAGGAATGGACAATATTTGGAACGAGAAATTGTGTATCCTCTTATAAGCTCAACACCTATTTTGAATAGAAGATTGTGTTTGCCGTCGGGGTTTATTTGAAGATGAACCTATTGTACATTGGACATTGCTAAAAATAGCGACAAAAATCATTCATTAAATTGTCACTAAAAATCAGCATGAATTAATACATAACTTGACATGGTCAATTACAGTTTGTATATAACTAAGTGAATTTCTATATGCATGGCTTGTATAGTGTGAGGTTTTCTTTTAAGCATGAATTTGTTGTGTTTTGGAAATGTGCTTAAATGTTAATATTGTATACATTTACATAATGTATCTTTTCTATGTTTTGCTAAACAAGAGTATGTGCTCCGGCAGGTCTCTTACCTGTGTTGTGTCCATCTTGATATCCTAGCTAGGCATCTCCTTGCAAGTTGTTGAAATATTTATGCAAATTTTGTGTCTGGTATCACCAAGTTTATATGCTTATGAGTGATGTAGTTTTTGACCAATCATCATTATTCCCTAGAGGAGTATTAGTATAGATAGCACCCTATTCATTCATTGATTTTGGTGAATGATCATCGTTTGTCTTTTAAAAAACACCCACTCACCGTCCCCAGCTTCACCTATGATTTACATTGTTGTTAGTCCCCTACCGGTGAAAAAGTGTTGTAATGGCTTACCAATCGCTTAATAATGATGTTAGGATGCTGATTCTTAGCAAAGAGGTTTTTAGGGGTCTAGCATTAATGCTGTGGATTGAAAATGGAAAATAATTTTATTTTTTGGGGGAATTTTTGACATATTTTGGACTTAACTATCCTGGCCAAAATCTGAAGCTTAAAGTTTGGGTTAAAAGTTTTGTAACGGCCCACCGTTCCTTTAATAATAATAGTGTTAGGATGCTGATTTTATGTACATAGGTTTTTAAGGGGTCTAGCATTAATGCTGTGGATTGAAAATGGAAAATAAAAAAATAAAATGAATTTTTGACATGTTTTGGACTTAACTATCTTGGCCAACATCTGCTGGTTAAAGTTTGGGTTAAGTTTTTGTAATGGCTCAAAGTTCACGT